TTCAAAAAATAGGACAAGTTTTTTATGCCAAAGCGTTCTGCGTAAAGATTCTTTTTAGAAAACTATAAAATTGTTATATGTTCATAAAGAAAATTTTATTTTATTAATAAAAGAGTTAAGACACATTTTGGGCAAAAAAACGGCAAAAATCTAACTTTTTTGGAATTTTTAAATTAAAAAACGTATATTTTTGGATCTGTAAATGATATTTATCTGAAATTTTTTGTATATTATTGGAAATTTTATTGTCTAACTAACAAGAAAAAATTGAGTCCATTTGGTCCAAAATTACGCCCGGTATTCAAAAAAAGGCGGACCAAGGTATGGTAAATTTTGTATCACTAAATTTTTAAATGCCTATAACTCGGATATTATAAGAGATAAGTAGTATGTCCAAGCATGTTTTTTCAAGATCTCGTCGAGCGCTTTCAGAAAATGTAAAAATCTTTGTATTTGGGTGAAAAACAAAAAAATGGCACGAGTTTAAAAATTTTACATGTCGTAGGTACCCTAGTTTGAGCCGCCACAGCTCCGTCCCTGGGGCATCTGGGGGGTTCATCTTCAAAACTTAAACTCGAATACTCCTTGGCTACGCTCATGCCAAATTTTATCCCGATCGGATCAGCCGTTTAGAAATGCCAGATTTATTTCCAAAAAATTTCCATTCTGCCCCACTGTGGAGTAATGGAAAACTGTTTTTCAAGTTACACACTATTCGATTACATGACTATTTCATTAAAAACAATATATCAAGTTTATTTCGATTGAAAATCTTGATCTCAGTACAACATATTAGAAAAAAAATTACTGCAATCTTTTCGAAATGGGTCTCAAAAAATCCGTAATTTTTAGCGGATTACCGGAAAAATAATTAAGTTTTTCTTAGAGTTTTTTTGGGACGAAATTATACTAAATATATAGAAAATAATCAAAATTAATCCTTGAAAATAATCGACTAATTTTTGCATTAATTTTGATTTTTTTTGATTATTTTCATTAATTCCAATTAATCCCCGATTATTTTTAATCGTAATCAATAATTTATTAAAAATATTGAAAATAATCGTTAATTAATCATTAATTTCACATTTTTAATAAAAATAATCGAATTAATAATGATTACGATTATTAATCATTATTTTACAACTATGCTTATAACTAACCTATGACCTTAATAGTTTGGAGTCTTATACTTCCGAATATTGTTAGTAGTTTATTAAAAAATATATTACTTAAAAAAGTGTTTGAGATTTAAGTTTGGACCCATAAGGGTTGAGAAAAATATTAAATCACTAAGAATTGTGACTTGATGGGAAGAAATCGAAAGCATGCAATAGACTCAGCGTAGCAATAGCTTTAATTCTATAACATATTTCTTTTAAGGAGAATTTCATTACAGACCTGTGTTCAGGATACTTACTTTACTTACACAATATCATTTTAAGACATTATTTTAACACGGGGATGTCATTGGAGGCAAGTACTTACCACGCTCGCTTATAAATAGGGAGTTAAGTAAATAGTTTTGTTTCTAAGATATTATTTGTATGACTCCTTCTAAGTAATGCAAACGGTATGTAGTTTGTCATTGAAAAGTAAGTTTTTGTTGGGAAAGTATAAGATATGAGTTATCAAAAATCCGGTTCTTAAATGATTAAACCATTTCCTGGTATCCTTTTGATTGACTAACAAGCGAAAATAGGCAGTATGCAAATCTCTTTTCGTTTTACCAAATAATAACTCATTTTATTTCTATAGATTTATATAAGTTTTATTCGTATGTCTTGTCATATTATTAATTATTTTTATATAGACGTATGATTTGTTTTCTTTCATTTATTAAATAGTATAAATTACGAGTGGTAACATTTAAAAAAGTGCATGCGAAATAATAAAATGAAATAAAAATAATTATAAACCATGATATTTACGAGTAACTTTCTCTATTATATGTTTTTTCTCTCTATCTTTGAACGACAGTATTTATTATAAATACTTGACTTATAACTAATTGCAGTTGATACACAAAATTAATTATATTATTTTATTTCTTACGACTAATATTAATATCGTTTACGATATTTCTTACAAAAAAAAAAAAAAAACAATCAAAAAAAATAATAAAATGACTTTGTAAAGAAACGTTTAAGGGCCCTATTCATAACAATTTATCAAAGTTTTATAAGAAAAATTTTCATACAAAATTTGTTATATAAATTGTTATGAATAAGTCAGTAAAGATTTAAGTAAATGTGACTATTTGAATTATGGCAATAAAAATATTTGTTTAAACAAATATAATTATTTTGGATATAATCAATGTATTTTTTCTCTAAAAACACAGCTTTATTTTTGTGGTTTAACAACCATAGTTTTATTATTATTGAATAATTCATCCTAATGTTTGCATTGTTCTTAAAAGTGACAAAATTTTTTTATATTTTAATTATTGCAGTCAGTTTTTTTTAATTTTCTAACAACGAATTAAATATAAAGCATACCTTAAGGATGTTTTGTAATTACATATATTTGAGTGTTTGTTAAATCAAAATGTTTGAATCGAAATCAAGATGAATATTTCACGATTTTTTTGTTTTATTATATTTGTTCCCTTTTATATTATGTTTTATAATTTAATACTTTGTGTTATTTTCTTTAATTGTAACATTAAATGCAAAGTTTTAAATGAAAAAGCGATTTACGCGAAAAATATGTGTGTGTGTATTTTATATAAACAATAAGATCGATAAACTCGAATAAATTTAAATGTTTGTTGGTTGTTTATAAAATTTATATTTATTTAATGAGTGTAAATATAATTTTATATGTATAAAAAATAATTTATAAATATAATAAATAACAAAAACGGAACAAAATCATATTCATTAAATAAGTTTGTCAGTATAAGTTTCGTTGGTTTTTCGTTTGAAAATAAAAGTGTGTTTGTTAGAAGTGATTATGATTATGATGTGAACTTAATTGATTTCATTTAAGTAATTGTATTAATGATAATAACTTTTTGTGATTTTATTTTTGGTGTCATGTATTTACAGAGAATAAGTTTGGCTTGTAAAAAGAAAAGAAAATATTAAAAAAAAAACATAAAAATATAAAAGCAGTCTATTACAAAAATATAAAAAAAAATCTTAAATTATAATATACAAGAGTACAAAAATTCAACTAAGCACATTTGTTACAAAAAAAGGTGTATGTTTTATAAAAGTAAATTAAAAATAATAAAATTTCAAAAAATTAATCTCGATATTTTAATACTTTGCAGCAATAATCATTCACACAAATGTTTTATTTGTTTTGCAAACGTTTGTGTCATCATCACCATTATCGTTACAAATACATAGAATTCACAACAACATTTTGTAATGTTAAGGAACATTTTGTATTTAATATTAAGAGCAATCGTGTATTGTTGCTCCAGAAAAATTGCATTTCTTATTAAAATTTATTGAAAATTTAATTTGTTCGTTATTTCGTACTTCCATTTTAAGTTGGTCATCTCTTTGGCATTTTATTTAAACTATAGGTGATGGCGTTAGAGTGGCTCGTGTGGCTCGGGTAGGTGATTTACTAGTATTTTGTATATTAGCACCATTACCATGAATACGAAATAGTTCACCCACCGTTATGGCAACTTGAACAACACCTTTCCCCTCCAGTACATCAGCAGCACAGCATATTAGATTCTAAAATATTGCAAAACAAATTTTGTTGTTAAAACAAATAGTTTAAATTTTGTTTCAAATTAAAATGTCCATTTAGTTAAACTTTAATTCATTTTAAATATTTCATTTGATATTGTTTAAGGAAACTATAATTAAGTACTTTAAAAACCTGATTTTAAAGCTGACTTTCAGATGGCATTTTATAAATAAAGTTGTCTCAAAAAGAGCCAAACGGCCAAATGTCCTTTTTTCAAATTTCAGGACACGATATGCCGAACCTCAGATGTGATGGAGAATTTTTGATATTCGGATTCAGCGCAGCTTAATTATTTGGAAAAGTATACTTTGGTCTCTGGATTAAAAAATGACCTTTCTGTGTTATAGAAAGATTATCAAAAATGATCTCTAATGTGAAATTTTGTCCATTAAAGACATGAGTAAAGTTAAAGATAAAACGATTGGGATATAAATTGTAATAATAAAGAGAGGAAATAAAAGGAACAATCAGTTTAGAACAAACCTATGAATTGTTCTAAGAGAATAGATCCTTAAGATCAAGCACAATGTCAAGTTTCTTTCATTATACAGGTCAGGACAAATACATGGAAGATAAACTAGGATCTCCTCCTCAACTTCTTTATGACAACTTATCTATGACAACACCTAAAAGAGATTGATGGAGACCGAGGGACGAACGCAACATAATTTGTAGAAGTATAGTCTTACCCGTATAAAAATTGTCATCGAATTTACCGCCTTTTTATAGCCGCACGGAAATCTTAGGCTAGTTTTGTTGTAATTAAGGCCAACAAAGCTTTAACTTATAGACCAAGATATACTTTTCTAAATGATGATGAGCTGCGTTGAATTTGAATCTAGTTTAAGTTTTCTTTGCCACATCGATATATCGTGTGCTAAAGTTTGAAAAAAAACGTTTTTGGCCATATTTGAGGCCAAGACACCTTTGTTTATAAATCTAGTTGTCATTTGAAAGTCTAATCTGTGTTATAGCTTAATTTTTCATCAAAATATCTGGCCAAAACCGGTATTTTTTCCAAACTTTAGGTCATAATATCTTGAAAACATGATGTGATGGAAATAACAATATATCAAAGGTTTATTTAAAAAATCATCAACATTTTGTTCTATAAACCTTCTCTTTGAAATATTTAAAATGAATTGAAATAAAAAAAAATGTTTGTAAAACAAAGAATAAAACTCATTTGAGAATTTTTAGTTTTTTTTCAGTTTATATTGTATCAAAAGTAATTCATAGATTTCGTTTGGATGTTTTGTTTGTTAAATTCATTAAATTAATAGAATAATAAATACGTATGTTTGTATATATGCTAAATGCGTCTGTGTTTGGGTATATATGTATGTATATAATTGCATATATGTAATTATAATAAATGCAAATGTATGACTTATATAATATTTAGTAATATGTGTATATAAGAAAGTTTATGTTTCTTTCATCTTTGACTTCTTTAATATTTAAATCATTTAGGTTTGTTTTACTTTTTTTTGGTGTTTCATTAAGTACATGGGTATAATAAATAATTTGGTAAATGATTATTTCACATTAATACTAAGTTAATAATTATAATTATTATTTTATAGTTCTATTAAATAGGGGGACAAAAATATATGTTGTTGTATGCGCTTTAGTTTATTTAATTAGTTTTTTTTTTAATTACTTTAGCAATATACTTGTGTTTATTTCATTGCATTTTGAATTTTAAAAATGTGTTTAATTTGTTTTATTTTAATAAAATATTTTATTTTATTCTTTAAGAAATTTGATTTTGTTTTTGTTTCTTCTAAGAAATAAAAGGAATGTTAGTTAAGTTTTCATGTTTTGTTTTTCATTTATAATAAAATATTTATTATTAGTATCTATAATATGAAATCATATTGAGGCAATGGGATTGTTGTTTTTAGGAAATTTTGAAAACAAATTTAAAAATTATCTCAATTTTACTTTCTCCACACAATCTACTGTAAAGTTACAACACTCAGTTTTAAGGCACTGCATTCAAATGGTTTTCCTTTTTTTTTGTTTAAACTATATTTAATCTAATTCATTTTATTAGGTTTGTTTTTTTTTTTCAATTTATTGCTTCTTTTTAAATAAAAATAAAATATTTATCAATATGATTTCATACATACATAATTTTTTAGGTTTAGGTTTTTTTTGTATACTTTAATACTACTTTCGCACTTGTTAATTTGTTTTAGTAAACTGTGTCCCTGCGTTTTCTGTTAAAACTTTATTTCCTTCGTTTCATTACTACAAACAATTTTAAAAGTAAATTATTGTTCAAAGAGTTTAGTTTTATATGATATAAAGCAAAAAAAAATTTTGATATTGTAGTATCAAAGGACTAAGCAGTAATCTTTTCAAATTATAATGATTAAAAAATTTCATACAAATAATATTTAGATCAAAGTTGTTCTACTTAAAGTTAGAACAATTAAAAAAAGACTTTTAGAAATGGCAAGAAGTGTAAATGAAATGGAAACTCTTTTGACAGCGTAACAGTATTCTTACAAGAATGCATCGTATATATATTTTATAGCTTGTCTTTAAAATCCATTGAATATAAAGCAATTAAATGGTAAATTATATAAATTTCAATATTAAACACTTTTAAAATTTAATTTTATATAATAAAAATTTAAATAAAAGGTAAAAAAATTAAATAAATATTATTTAAATAAAATTAAAGCTTGACTTCAACTTGAGCTGCAAAATTTCTCAATACTTATATTAAATAAAAGGTTATTTGTTAATAAAAATTAAATTAAAACAATTAATAAATTTTTAATAAAAATTATTAAAACTTAACAAAACTATTTGCGTTTGGATGAATTCAATATAATATTTTGTTTGTGTTAAAGTATTTGTGATAATAAAAATGTCCTTAAAATGCTTTATTATTTGTTAGACGTAATTAAATATTTTTTTTAACAAATTGTAATTTAAATCAAATATTGGTGAATTGAAAAAAAAAAACACTTAACTATAGTCTTTTATTTTCTCTTTATAGTTCATAGTTCTTTTAATTCTTATATTTCTATTCATTCTTTTGAAGTAATTCCTCCGTGACCACAAACAAAGAATGTCAAGTCTAAATTAATTCCTTACATATTTTCAAATAAAACATTTTAAAGACATTTAATTATAAAATTAGTAGTTAAAAATGATTTGTTAGTGTTTATTTCATTAGTTGTTTGTTTTTAGAGTTTCAATAGGAAACTTTTAAGGAAAGTTAAATGGAATATATAAGAGATTGTATAATTCAAGTCTTTGGGAGTTTTAAATGCATTCGTTAGATTTTGATAAAAACAAAACAAATTTTCAATACCTTATCGTTTAAAGGAAGAATAAATTCAATAAAATTTGTTTCCTTATCTTTTTTGTAAATTTTAAAATTATATAAAGGAAGAATAAATTCATAAAAATTCGTTTCTTTTTCTTATGTGTGTTTTTTTATAAATTAAATACTAAATTTTAAGCAGCCTCTACTAAAGTATTTTGTAAACTTTCTTTAGGGATTAGGTATTCCTATAAGCATCACTAAGCAACGTTTTCTTGTATAAAATCTTTCTTATCTTATAATTGGTATAATTGGTATTTGTGTGTTTATGTTTGTTTGTGTATGTATATAAAAGCAATACATATGTTTATATGTAAATTACTAAATGAAAATTATTAATTCATTCGAAAAGCGTTCATTCGTTTAAAACGCTTAAAACTTTAAAATTATAAAAATTCAAATGTCCAGTGACATTATACAACATATTAGAGAATGTAAGGAAAGTTTGGTTTGGCAGATAGTTGGCCAAAGTTCAATAAATATGTTTACTTAAAACTAAAATGCAATTTCTAAAGAAATATTTGAAAGAAACTCTTCTAGCCTGGCAGTGGAAAGAAGACCAACAGCAAAAATGTCACAATAAAAACACACGATAGTATGATTGTTAGAGTATGAGAATCGTGTCTTAATAGGAATGATGTTGCTGCCGTTGATTTTGAAGATCCAGCTTCTTTTAATTTAACAACATTCTTCACAAGTTTCTCATCTTCGATGGCCATATTGTCGTTGACACGATAAATACTGTATATGTTTGATTTGGGTTTAATTATGCCACCATTTGGTATATTGGCATGTTCAAAGAACTCGATACGTTTCGATACTGTATTGTTGATAGTTGCAGCTGCTGCTATTGCATCAGTGGGCTGTGCCGATGTTGCTGATGACAAAGTTGTTGGAGATTTTTCACATGAATTTTCCATGCCAGACAAATCGAATAGTTTATGTTTCATATTACTGGCACTGACTGCAGTTGTAGTTGAAGTAGTATTATTATTAGAGGATTGGCTGTTAATCACCTTAAGTGATAGTTCAGTTTCTTTGATTTTATATTTCTCATCGATAATTTGATATAAACCGGTAGTTGATGTTGTTGTATTGCCACTAATTACATCATTATCTGTCTCAACTATTGTCTGTAACATGTTGCCATCCATTGAGGATGACAATAAAGAAGAAGAGGAGGAGCAATGATTACTACCACTACCACCACTATTACCATGATGTGTAATCAAATTTAATTTGATTTTTTGAAATGTTTTCAATTTACAATGACGATATAAATTTCCAACACTTAATGTGGTTGTAGAAGATGAAGAAGAGCCAACATGTTTTTCTTGTTGCTTTCTTTCATTGTTGCAGCTGCTGGCATTATTGTGACCATTTTTGCTGCTACTGCTGTAACAGTTGTCTGTCTGATGACCATTGCCATAACAGTCACCACCACCACCGCCATCACTATTTAAATTATTATCATAATGATCAAATTTATCATAATTGGAATTTTGAAATTCCATCATCATCTGTTCTTTGGTGCAGGTTGCAGTTAATTGGTTTTGCTCTTCTTTCATCAATTTCTGTAGTTCTCTATCGTCACTCTCCTCTTCATCTTCTTCTAGCAGTGATTCATTATTTTCAAGCAGCATACAACGACGTTGTTTGCTCAAGTCTGGTTTTTTATTTATATAAAATAAGTGTTTCTTATCCTCCACACAATGTTGTGGCACTTGTTGGTGTTGATTTTGAAACTCTTGTAATTTCATTTGAAATTCATGTTGCTGTTGCAAGTTTTTTATATTTTGATGTTGCGGATTACTGTCCATTGCTATTAATGCAGCCACAGTTTTCAGCACGGCCGATGGATTTGGTAATATTTTGCGTTGCTGTTGTCGCTTTTGATCTTCGTGATTTTTTGCATCAGTCTGTGCATCTGTGCAATTATTATTGTTGCGATACAGTTGATCGTTGTTGTCGTTAAAGTCTTCTAATGTAACGATTTCATCATTATCATGACCATCAGCATCAGTTGCAGAGAGGGGTATGACGTCTGCACAGGAGCAAATCAACTCCTGCAACCAACACCAAATAACAGATTTTTGTAAACTAGTTTTTTCAATTTTTATATTTTGTTTTTATGGAGAAGGGAAAGGGACATGAACAATAAAATAGATGTTTCTATTCTACAATTGAATAGCTTTAGTTTTATTTTTTTCTACAATATTTTATAATAAAAAAACACTAACCCCCATTTTCAAAATGTCAGTTTTCACAGTTTTCATATAAAAATTATTTTAACTGTAAGAATAACTGCCGGTTAAGGAGGTGCAGAAAATAAAGCTTAACAAGATTTTCTTATATATTCTGAATTATTTTTTAAAAAATTATTTATTTAATATTTCTTAATATTTCACAGATCTTAAGAATATTATATTCACCTTAACAATTGCATTTTATTAAAATTATTAATCCTAGTTTATTCAGAAAACCCTCAGTTTTAAGACAAAAGTTTAGGTAATTCTCATTGGCATTCCAACACTTCCATAAAATTTCAGCCCTAAATTTAAAGATTTCTTCTATCAACAATTTCGTATGGTTATTCCAATTAATTTTACAAATATAATTTGATACGTATGTATATAAAAAACAACCTATAATTAAGGAAATCAAAAAATTAACTATGCAGTCAAAGTCATCATTTCAAAATATTAAAAAAAGAGTCTAGATTTTATCACTATTTTTTAACGCTAATTCTGGAAAGTGTGTAAATAATTTTCAATAATTGTCAAATGGATAGCACTTAGAGGTATCAGTAGTTTATATATATTCTTGTAAATGGTTGGAAATAATATTCCTTCACTTCGAAAAAGACAATATTTAAAATAGCCTTGAAAAAAATTAAGAAAATGTTAACGTTTGTTAAACCTGAAATAAGAAGAAATGATTAACCTGAAATGTTGTGAATTAGTTTTACTCTACCCGATATTGCGCATTTCTGCTTTTCGTTTTGAGTAATTTAATATTTTCTAGTGTGCTACCTTATAAGCATTTTCAAATTTGATTAAAGGACTACGCAAAGGATGATGTCCTTATCAGACATGTGTTTTTTTCATCCTATTATCCATGGTGTTTACAAGGAATTACTGTATTTAAAGGTCCGAATTTTCGTAATTTCTTAGCAACAAAATGGAAAATTGCAGTAGGAAGCAAGAAAACAATTTTGTATTAAAACTGATTTATTATTTCGGGCAACCGCTGCTTGGAAGCAAAGACCCTCACGTTGGAAATTAGTTCTAAAAAACTTTGGCGAGTCCGACAAGTCTTTCCATAATGAAAAAAAGTTGTGTTATATAAGCCATCTTAATTGTAGACAATGGGTTAATAACACCCAAGGATTTATTTTAGCTTAAATTTGTTCTAATATACCTATTTATGCCTATGCTCCATCTTAGACTTTAAAGAGTTTCATTATTTTGTCGATCTTAATTTCGCACTGAAAAAGAGATGATTTGAACCAATGTGACATATCTACCAATATCTACCAGCAATATCTACCATTCTTATTCATTTAATTACAGGCCAAGTCCTTTTGGAGATTGGGGCGATGAGGCATAACAAGAATGAATCGCTCAACCACGACTTAGTAACAATTTCTGAATGGGGTCGAGCTAATGAAGTCGATTTCAACGTCCGAAAGGCTCAATGTTGATTTTTGACTTGAAGCATTCAAGTGATTTTTAACAGTTTTTTAAAACAGTGTAAGACATACTTAATTCCATCTGATCTTCTCATTATTTATACCACTTATATCCGACCGGAATAGAACTTTCATATATGGGAGCTTCAAAGTCTATTTTGGAGCAACTCGACCGGTACTCATAGGTGACAGTTGGGTATCCAACTTTTTTAATTCACTAGAGTATCGTCGCAATGTGCGGTATATTTCACTGTTCTATCGATATTACAGTGGAATGTGTCCCTCTTATATTGTCGGCCAGGTCCGACTACACTTTCCTACTTGTTTAAAAGCTACCCAATAATTTTACTTTAATGTCGATATATTTAAGCAATTAATTGATGAAGAACTGATTTTCTGAAAAAGTCTATATGTATGACAGCTGGTGTCAAATATTGACCGATCGTATCAAAATTTTATATAAGATCTAGTTATACAGAATTTCATCGGAAGGGGACTTTGTATGGGGGTTAGAGTCAAATCTATAAAACGTAGTTGTGTCTATTTTTGTAGAGATATTAATTGATGTGTTTTATAAATTTATTTATATATTAAATTTTGTTAAGTGTAAAATGAATTACTTTTATGCAGTTTACATCACTGTAAATAAGTTGTTAAAGCTCTTTTGTTTTATAAAAGTAATGGTAACTCTATTACCTTTTGTACAAATAATAAAACAGGTGTAGTTGAGAATCTCAAGCAGTAACAATTAAATAAATAATAAATTGAATTACACCTATTAAAAATCACTCGTTTAATTAATGTACTAAATGCAACATTAGTATATTTGGCAAGGTAAGGTTTGTCCTAAAATAACACGTGTACCAAATTTCAACGAGTGGCGACCATATGTTAAATCGAATGTTTGAAATGGGACATTGCATCACATTACATGTTGTCGACTTAATAACATGAAATTCAAAAGAACGTATCAATAAATTAGTAATTTTCAAAAGTCAGGAGTCCAAAAAATAAATAATAGAAGATATTCAAACAGTTTTATTGATGTTGGGATATATTTTAGCAGACGATATTTATTTTTTATAGTTAAATACTAAATATACTAAATACTTAAAATCTAATTCCGATATATTTAAAGTTAAATTTGTAACTGTGTATTGACGAAAATTGATATTCTAAAAGAGGCTTAATATGGTGCTGTTGTCAAATATGAGACGATCCTCATAAAATTTGTTCATATAGAAGTTATTTATGGTGAATTTCATCGAGGTACTAGTTTTTAAAAGTAGGGGATATGTACGATCAATTTATTCTAAGAATATATAGTGAAATATATTTATTATTTAAAATTATTTACAGAATTGTTCTATATTAGAAGTAGTAATAAAATGAATGAATTAAATACCAAGTTCTTTATTTGAAATTGCTTTATCTTTTGAAGAATTATTAATTTTTCAAATGCTTTTCCAGAGATTTAATTCAGAGAACTAATACTTAATGCTTTCAAGATTTTTCTTTTAATAATATCTAACTTTGGTAGTTTTAACAAGATTTTCTAACAAATAAAAAGTTAATTCACATTATCTACCCAAATAATGAGTTTTATAATAAAAAAGTTGAACCCATGCATTCATTGATATGTTAACGAAATAATGTGTAAATGTTAATTGTATTTTATTTATTCGTTTTTTTTTTATTTACAAACATTTTTTATTTTAAGCAACAATTTACTACGATTTATTGTACTACTTAAGAAAAAATTCAGTTTATACCAACTACAAATTATTTTTATTTTCATTATATTAATTTTACTTGATTAACACCCCTTCTCTCAATGTATAAGATACAGAAAGTTTTCTTACATAAATAAATTTTAACCGATAAACGGAAACCAGACATTGAGAAATTGGGTTTAAGAAATCAACAATTAGAAAAAAAATCAACTAAAGCCATTCAATGTAAAAATACCTCAAAAACAAAGAGGTATAACGATGTTAGTCATTTCGATAAGGACATGTTAATAGTAAATGGGTTTATACAATTTATAAAAACATGAAAATAATCAAAATAAACTCACCTCATCAACACCAATTTTACGACAAGCTTCTAAAAAATTATCCACATTACGACGACAACGGGCCATTGTAAGTTTTGACTGTAAAACAAGTTAGAAAAATGTTTTAAATCTATATTCTACAAATTTATATTAAAAACTCACTACTCCTGGAGATGGTACATGAATGCTGGCCACCGAACGTGGTCGAACATAATTTGCTAAATGGCACAATATAACGCCATCAGTTAAAGCGGATGCTATATCATCGGGTAGAGTCATTTTCAATCGGGTTTCAATAATCTGAATTTCAATGAATAGTGTTAAAAAAGTGTTGTTTTGTTTTTAGTAGACGAATAAAAATACATACACTGCGTAATTGTGTCATTAGTTCGATTTCCTCTCTTTGACGATCGAATTCTCGACGCATAGTAAAACTTAACTTCTCTGGTGGTATGTCATGATTCCAAGTAACAGTTCTAAAATGAAATATTTTATAAGCTAATTTTCTGGGTAAATAATATCATTGTGAAAACACATCTTTAAAGACAATTAAAAAACTCCATAACTCAATAAAATAAAATGTTAAGCAAGATATGCCTTGAAGAAAACGTCGAAAATTTCGATAATAATTGTTGAAAACAAGAAAAATATAGTTAATTGCGCTAGCACTATCTTTGATATAATCCATAGAATGATGAACATTCGAAAAATAGAAGTGCTTGAGGCAGCTTAGGCTTAAATTTTAAATTCCGAAACGTAGATCCTATTGATTAACATATATCAGTGTATTAATAGAATAAGAATGGAGCAGTATTAAAATCTTTAGGAGTGATTGTACTGATTTATAAAAGCTATAATTAGTAAATGGAGGAAACTACAGTTGTGAAACAAGACAATTGGAAATATTGTCTAATACAATAATGTTTTAGTACAATAATAAAAAACTCTATAAAATATTGCAATTATTTATAAAAACAATATAAAGAAAAAAACGTTCATACCTATGTGCTTTGCCAGTTATTATTTTGTTGCTATTATTGCCAACTGGTGATTTTATACCTCCTCCCGTTGTCGATGATGTTGTAGTTGTCGTCATTGTTGTTGTTGTAAATTTATTATTATTCGTTAAGATGCCAACTCCAAGACCCGTTAGACCATTGCCACCACTAACAACACTACCACCATTTAGGGTTTTCATAGGACTATTCGGTTTGACATAACCAATACAGTCGCCATTTGTTGTAACTGTCGATAGGACATCGTTTGCAGCATGTTTCGTTGAGGACATTAGTTCGGTATTTCTGGAGGGTATAACTTTTTGTATGGGTTTCTTTGGTATAACTACAGTTTCTTCGATGCCACCATTGCTGCTGCTTACGACAACTGAATTGTTGCCCACACCACTAGCACTGACACTAACACTAACACCATTTAATGTTGCATTTGAATTATTGGCACTATTTTTCATTATGGATTTTGGCACTGGTGCGCTTTGCGCATTACCATTCAAGCGTATTTCCATGTCTTCGTTTGGCTGTGGAGAGGGGGATTCATTTGCATCATAAACATGTTTTTGTTCTTTTAATTTGTAGACTTCTTGACTACGTTGCTGTTTTAAAGCCTCTTTATATTCCCTGTGAATCAAAGTAAATATATATTAAATCACAAATATTCTAACATATTTTAAGAAATTTCAACACTTTACCTATAAGTTTGTATATTTCCCAAATTTTTATTTACTTTATCATCTAATTTGCCATTTGGTTGTTGCTGTAGATTGTGATCGATCATGCCATCGTCTAAATCGGGTGTGGAACCACTACTCGAACTAGAATGGTTATGGACATAATTGAGGTGTTGTTGTTGTAAATGCATTAAATTATTTTCCTCTTTCCGTTTAATGGGCGAACAGCTCAAATCACTTGTAGACTGACTTTCCATATTTAAGGGTTTGACTACAGCAGCTGTTACACTTATCGATTCATCGACTATGGTACTTGTACTCGAAGTTAATGAGGCATCCATGAGATCAGCATTTAGCAGAGATGCTTTTGATAAAGGAGGTGTTGTAGGTGTCATACGTATGGGAGATTCATTTTTTGATTTCACTTTAAAATATACAAACTGACAATTTTAAAGGGAAGGAAATTAGAGGGTGGGGGTAAATAACTTACGGGGCATATCATGAGACCAACGTTTATCAATACCATCACAAGTACTGTAACCAGAATCCACATGATGTCTAACAACACGATGTGTCTCTAAAACATTGCCATTGGAATTGTTACGCGGTGCCCGTCTTAAGGTTGTGTAACCATCATAATTTCCTCCAGCTCGAGAGCCTTTTTCTTCTTTGGTTGCTTGAGTTTCTAAATATTTAAAGACGTGCACCAAACCACGAACACAGAGCTAGAATTGTTTATAAAAAAGGTATAGAATTAATAAATTAAAAGAAACTATATATTTATTTTGTATGGCAAACAGACTACTATCGAATATTTAATAGGGTTATCGGATCAATGCTGATATCCTTATACACTTCAAATCAAAACTAATATATGAATGCCGAGCACATTGAAATAAGATACTGAAACATTAGATTATTTCTCTTATATAGGAGAAGGAGAATGGTATTGCTGACAAATTGGGATCTATGTTGGATTAAAAAAGGCTCAGTAAACAGTAACGTTATTTATTATCTTAGTTTAACTGAGTGTTTTTGGCCAATTAAACTTAAGTTATAAGTGAGAAGACACAATTAACAAAAACAATAAAACAATGATTTCGGAAGAACAAAAACTTAATATCTTGAGTAAATTGCAATTTTCTGATTTGTTTGTTTTATTTATTATTGTTTTAAATGCTTATTTAACAATTTTCGAAAATTTTTCATTTTACAAAAGTATTATTTGCGAAAAACAGCTGTTCATTCTTTATGTTTTTGAGTTAAAAGTTGGCAATACTAACAAAGTTAACTGAATTTAAATCCATAACTGAAAAACACAATCATCGGTTAAAGTCCGCCTAAATTTGTTCCGATTTTAATCTAACAGCAAGTTAAGCCTAGTTTAACTGAATAGTAAGAAACCCGCCCTATGTCTACAGCTTATATATATTTTAAATAAAACTATTTGAAATTTCAAGTTTAAATAATGCACATCTAGGATCTTTTACTTACACTAGCTGGCGGTGAAGTCATGGGATTATTTTCAAGATTGATTTCAACCAACGTTGACATTTGACGAATTTCAAGAGGTAGACTAGAAATGCGATTATTCGATACATCCAATGAAACCAATGTTAGACAGGTTAATTCTATATAAGAAAATAATAATTAGAAATTTCGAAAATAAGAAAATCTTCTTATATTTCACTTACCTCGAGGTAAATACATCAATTGATTGCTACGCAAAGAAAACGATCTTAAAGAACGCAATTCACCAATGCGTGCTGGTAATGTTGTAAGCTGATTGTATGAAGCATCCAAATCGGTTAAACGATCCATACGTCCCAATTCATCCGGTAGCGCAGTCAAACGATTATTTGATACCAATAATACTTGCAGGGGTAGAAAGCATAATTCACGCGGCAATGAAGACAATTGATTGCTGCGCAAGTCTAAATATGTTAAAGAAGTCAAATGTTTCACCGATTCCGGTATGCTGCGTATGGTGTTGTGATAGAGCAGCAGCGTTTCAAGAAAAGAAAATGTGGTAATTTCTTCCGGCAATTCACAAAATCGGTTGCGGGATAAATCTGAAAAAGAAAAATGAAAAAATATTTCTAATGAAAAACTTTGTTTAAGAAATAAACAAACAGCTAAATAATAAACAAAATCAAAAACATTTGTAAACATTTCAGAGTTTATTTGCGGGCAATAATAATTGTAGAGGTAAACGCAACAATATCGTTTATATTGTTCCATTTCAAAATTAAAAAAAATAATTTTGGTTCAGTGGTTGCAAAGAATTTTTACTTTTAAGTGAGTGCTGAATGAGTGAGGTATTTTGTTTTATTTTTATCTTCTTTTTATAGTTTGCTTTATAATTTTTCATAAATATTTTTAGCTTTTCTAGTCATGGTCTTTAATAATTCATAGTTTTATAAATTGTTAAAGTATTTTTAGCTGCATTATACACACACATGTACTCTATATATTTTATATTAATGCATTTCAGTGATGTTTGCTGTTGTTGTGTGTCGTAAAATATTCATGTTCGATAATACAATGATAACAACATCTGCCTTTTCGTAAAGATTAATCTTAAAAATATATTTCTATGTTAAGGCACTACTTTTTTGTGGGGTCAATGGAAAAATAACTCAAGAATTTGTCGCTATTTATAGAGTAGCATCATGTCATAATAAATAATATTTTAGGAATTTTTCTTAAAAGGAATTTCATATAGAGATTTGTTGTAAGATTTTACTAAATATGTCATTTATTTAATAAAATAGTTTTAATTTATTTAATAAAATAATGAAATATATAGTTTTTTGTGTTTATGGCTTAAAATTCTTATCACGTAAAAAGGTGTGTAAAATCTTCTTGTGTGTTAAAGCTCATTAAAATGTAGAACAAATTTCATATTTTATAAACATTTGTAATCTTTATGATTACTAAATATGTACAATTCATACATGTTAATGTATGTCTAAAGTTTTTAAAAATATTACATATTTTCTCAATGTTGTTAAATCATGTTGTCAGTCCGGTTTTTCCATTTAATATCAACACTTTAAAACCATATTCAGTTTATTTCGTTGGAGTATTTTCTGTTCAAATTGCGATATTAGCAAAATTTATAAAAAAAAAAATACAAATAAACATAAATTAAAACTAGTTTCAAAATATTTTTAAAAATTAAATTAATTAAGCACTAATTTGTTGCAAAGTTTGCAAGGCCTTACGAGAACAAATTTGTGATTTATTGGAAATCTGGACCTACATGACAGTAAGATCTGAAACATCACAATCATACAGACTCCTGTTCGAGAAAGGTAATCAATTCCCATGAATATGGACTCCTGATAATTCACTATCCTGGCCGACAGACAAACATAATCAGAAAATGATTGTGTTTCAAGCTGTGTAATCGATGCAATTTCATTCAGATTAAGGGCATGTTCATCTAAATGCTAAAGATCGTATTCTTTCTTATTTTAGATTGTTGTTTTTATATAAAAAATGCCTGCAGATCTTAACCAGGAAGAATGTTTTATTCGGCTATGTCGAATCTTATATACCCAACATCAAAGCATGGCTTGTATGTATTGGAATAGGACATTTATTTAGTGCTTGGGTCAATTATGGGCCAGGATCTTGCGAATTTTAGAGAGTGTTTCCCTTTTAAAACAAATTGTTTATTTTATCATAATACTCAACATTCGGAACTATTTATTAATATGTAATGAACTGTTTTGTGTAAGAGTAGTTATATAGCGGATAGGGTCAATTAAGGACCGATCCGGAATACATATGTTAGAGAGATATGCCATTAATGAGTTTTAAATTTATTTTCCGAAGGGTACCTTCCCAGGCCAAATTTACAGGAGTACATGATCGATTTAGGTATATTAAGTAGTCCTATGTAAAGAAGTAATGGATCATGTTTATTTTTTTTAACAACATGGTCCATAACCTGCATTACATAAGATCATGTTGCGGATCATCTACTCCCATAATTTTAGCAAGGGAGTATTTTTGGGATTACTCTGATGTAATGCATAGATGAATTATGTGGTCCTCATCTAGGATATCATAATGTTAAATGGAGTATGTTTTTTAAATATATTTGGGTTTTGAAGATTTGGACCAGTCCTAAAGAAATTTTGGTTCCTGCATAACTTACTTATGGCGAATTTTATAGCTATGGCTGCATTTTTAGGCCGGTAATGAATGATGGCCAATTATGGACCTATCCTCATAACATTTGGTACAGATTTTGGTTCCAATAAAACTAGTTTTTGTAGATTGGCAATAGTTCCAACTTTTACTCTGAGACCAAGTTAAATATATTTGTTTAAAGGTTTAAGCAGAGCTCATTCCGTTAAAGATTTAGCCTATATCGAGTCGTTATAACAGCACGAATTTGCCTTAATATAAAAATTTTGTTATATCGTCTGAAAATGCCAGGTTTGACTTAATTTATATATTGGTTTTTTTTTTCTGAGATATCTTCTCTTATGTCTGAAAAATGCAGTTTTTACATCAAACTGCTTTGTCTAAACAAAAAAAGTAAAAAATAAGAACTTTCATTTTCCTTCGAAACAAAAAAAGGTTTCCTTGAATAAAGACATTTTCCTACATATTAATTTTAAATATTTCTTTGGTTTATTTAATAAAATTGTTATTCAATTTAATAAAGTACACAGGTAACATGACCTCATACAAGAGGAAATTAAAAAAATATTTTGTACTTAAAACAGCTTTCAATTTAGAATTACAAAAAGAACATTTAATAAAACTCCTTGTGTGCATGTTTCTATATAATATTTTCTTCTTTTTTTAACCAACTGACCTAAATGAAAATTTTATTTTTAACTGGACTGTAAATAAGTGAACACACCTTTTTTCAATTGCAAATAAAATGAAAAAAATAAAAGCAGAAAAATTAGAACAGAATTTAATGTTGAACGTACAAATTCATTTTTATGCTGCTGACTTGTTTGTTTAACTGTGTGGCATGTTGTAATTACTTAAATTATAAATTGTAAGATTTGCACGAATACAAATGCAAATGATGAAATTTATTATTTATTTCAAACCAGTTGGTTAAGATATTAATTCTAGAGGAAATGATGATGAGATTTTTCATTTGTTTGGTTGATGGCTCTCTGTGGAATGACAGACATTAAACACAACTGACAAAGAAAAAAAGAAAATTTTCATTCGTTGGGGTCGGTTGTGGCGGAATACAAAATTTGATTTATATATTACAGGACTTAATGAATAAACCGCATCTTAAAATGGAAAATATAAATTAAAATTAAACGAAAAGCGGTCATAACAACAAAATAAACAACATATTTGAGCAACTGCTTAAATTGATCTCGTTATGTTGCAATAACAACAAAATGTTTAACAAAAACAAAACAAAAAACTCTATAAAATTGCAGGAAAACACCAGTTGAGCGAATGTGAAAGAAAAACAATCCAAGGCAAGCAACAACCAAAAGGCGACCCCAATGATTGTCAGTACCATGACAGCAACAATTATTTTAAAATAAGTGCGTGAAAACACTTTGGAAAAGTACAAAACAAACAAAACAAAAACATCGACAACAACTACGACGACGACATCAATGACTGGTACTGAGTTTTTTTTCTACAACGAGCAAAGTGCACATGTGAACAAGTATACTCTCACTGTGCTCCTTATGTGTATTGGACACAGTAAAGAAATACAGACAGTACAGTACTAGTACGATCAATGTGACCAGATCTTAAATTATAGTTTGAAATAAAATTTGAAGAAAAATATGAAAAATTTATTATAAAAATTCGATACAAAAATTAGGAGTTTTTTGTAAAGAACAATACACAATTGTGGGCCAGTAACGATTTTAATTGCAGATGAAAGTACACCTTAAAATTTCATTGTCAAAATTCATTCTCTCCGTTTAGAATAAAAGGATGTTCAATATTTGTGTATATGCTTGCTTTTGCAGGTTTTCATTATACTTCTTTCTCACTTTCTTGGAAGTCCTTTTTCTGCTAGGTAGTATATTTAGATACATAAACATATACAACATTTTGTATAATATCTTAAGTATATTACACCTCGCATTAATTATAACAAAACTATAACTCAAATATTCAGATACGATTCAACTATCAACTAATTAATGTAGTTTATCTGAACTGTATGGTCGGTTTGCATTAAATTCACATTTATGAAAATACCAAATGTTTAAACAATAAAAAAATATTTATATGCACTTGGCATTGGATAAAAATTATTAATAAAAATACAAATGTTACAAATGTGGTAAATTAATTATTTTACTCGACAATGACTGTTTTTTCTTTCTGTCCTCATTTATTTTCTGATTTTGTTCTCAATAATTATTCATACATTCAAGAATTTTTAAATATTTATAATATGTATCAGAGATGGGGGTAGTGCACTAATTTCTAACTATCACTAATAATTAGTGGTAGTTCAAAATTATTCACTACTTTTATTCAAGTTTAGTGATGAATTAAAAAATATAAGCCTCACTCAACAATAGTAATAGTAATATTTAAAATTTTTAATCAAAAATATTTTAAAAATAGTTAAAATATTTGTTTTTACAGCCTAGTGAAATATTTTTTTCTACACTAAATTATTAGTTCAAAAATATTCCTGCACAATTTTTTTTTCAACGGAGAAATGTTTCTCTTAATTGAAAGTTTAAGTAAATAGGTCAGTCTAGAAATGGTTCAACTCATTAATTCATTCATATCAATGAATAAAACTTTCATTATTTACAAAGTTTCCAAGCTATTGCTTAATAAAAACATCCAGTAGCCACATCATTTTGACAACTGGCAACGCAGCTGAAGTGGCAATCGAGATACATAATCGACCTATTAATTTATTTCTCCGAGGAGAGTCCACCATTCCGTTCAAAGAAAATAATCGTTCTACTGGAACAGTTTTGGAATTCAGGTGTTTCATTTCTTTTTAAAGCATGACATGTTTTTGGAGTAACTGCTTAGGGTCCATTAAATTGTCATCGCTATCAAAATCTGTATTTTCCATTTTTAT